TCTTTGAAAAAAAGATAGCAATGCAAAACTGTTTCTTCAATTCTAATTATATTTTTTATACGATCTAAAAGACTCGAGCTATTTAAAGTTTAACCACCTGAATTTGTGTGGCACTTTCAGTTGGAAGAATACCAGTCTACAGAGAGAAAGCTAACCTGAAGATTTTATAGAACAACCTCTTAAGAAGACATTTTGCTTTTAATAATTGTGGACTGCACTCTGCTCTGACGTACTCTGCTGGTACTCAGGAGGCAACTTTTTAATCAGCAGTACTGGGCACCCGATCGGGAGAGGAGAGGAGAGGAGAGGAGAGGAGAGGAGAGGATTCTTGGGGGGGTTGTCAAACACAGCACAACTGGTCAAGAGAGGTGACTGTCCCACTGCATCCAGCGTTGTTGTGGCCTCACCTTGAGTGCCACGTGCAGGTCTGGGCCCCACGGTTTAAGAAGGATGGGAATTTCCTTGAGTGGATCCAGAGGAAGACAGCAAAGCTGGTGAAAGGGCTGGAGGGAATGTCCTACGAGGAGCAGCTGTGTCTAGTTCAGAGAAAAGGAGGCTGAGGGGCAACCTCATCACTCCCTCCAGCTTCCTGAGGAGGGGATGTGGAGAGGAAGGTGCTGAGATCTTATCCCTGGTATGCAGGGATGGGATGTGTGGTTTAAAACTCTGCTGGGGAGGTTTAGGCTGGACATTAGGAAGCATTTCTTTACTGAGAGGGGGGTCAGACACTGGAACAGGCTTCCTAGAGCGGTGGTCGATGCCCCAGGCCTGTCAGTGCTTAAGAGTCATTTGGACAATGACCATATTACCATAATTTAACTTTTGGTCAGCCAGAATTGGCAGACAGTTGGACTAGATGATTATCCCTTCCTTACTGAGAGGGGGGTCAGACACTGGAACAGGCTTCCTAGAGCGGTGGTCGATGCCCCAGGCCTGTCAGTGCTTAAGAGTCATTTGGACAATGACCATATTACCATAATTTAACTTTTGGTCAGCCAGAATTGGCAGACAGTTGGACTAGATGATTATCCCTTCCTTGAAGATTTTCAAGACCCACCTGGATGCTCCTGAGTAACATGCTCTAGCTCTAGGCAATCCTGCTTCAGCAGGGGAGTTGGACTAGATGATCTCTATGGTCCCTTCCAACTCTAAAATTCAGTGAAATTCAGTGAAATTGTTGGTCACTTCCAGCTGAGATCTATTCTATTCTATTCTATTCTATTCTATTCTATTCTATTCTATTCTATTCTATTCCTAATTAGAAGCTAGCTGGCACACTCAGGGTACTCCTCCAGGCTCCAAAGCTTGTGTCCTTGGGGGTTTCTTCAGCCTCCTAGGACCCATGCTGAGAGGATTGCCCCCCACTCTCTGCTACCACCCCAGGCTCACGGTTCTCAACGCCCCGTGGTGCAGGCAAACTGGGCAAGAAGCGGGCACTGTCCATCTCCCCCCTGTCAGACTCCAGCATCGACCTGCAGACCGTGATCCGCACCTCGCCCAACTCCCTCGTTGCCTTCATCAACTCCCGCTGCGCCTCGGCCGGGGGCTCCTATGGCCACCTCTCCATCAGCACCATCAGGTGGGCACCAGCCTCCAGCCCCACTGGAGCCTCAATTCCCAACTTGGGGAATGGGGAGCAGAGTGGGACGGTGGGTTAGGTGGGAAGGAGGGGCTGGGAGTTCAGACCCCTGTGGTCCTCAGCTCACAAGACCTATATTTCTGTCCTCTAACGTGTCGTCTGGTCATCCCTCTTCCTCTTTGCAGTCCATCGCTGGGGTACCAGAGCCCACCGGGTCAGCAGAAAGGCCAAGGCCACGGCCACCTCTACAGCCACACGCCCCCACCACCCCCGTGTAGCTCCCACGACCATCTCTCCACCCGCCCGGGGCTCCTGCACCATGGCCCAGCTCGTGGGACTCTCAAACACTGCCAGGTGAGGCAGCCTGGCATCCCTCTAAGCGGTGCAGCCCACGTAGGACGTGCTCCCACGCTGACTCCTTTCCCCTTACCCCCTGCACTGGCAGCAGCTGAAGTTGGAGTGGAGCCTGAGCAGCCCTCTGACTGTCAAACACCCAGAGGAGAGATCCGAGTGTGACATCTCCAGTCCAGCTTCCACGGGCACCCAGGTAACTCCCCGGGTCTTTAGATGCACCCCAACTCCCCAGTGATCCCAAGGAGGATAAAGGGTCCTACCTGGGACCGCTCACCTGGGCTCTGCTCCCCCAGGACCCCTTGCTGGGGCTGCTGGATGTTCGTGAAGATCTGGAGAAGGAAGATGGGAAACCGGAGTCGGAGACTGTGTATGAAACCAACTGCTACTGGGACGGCTGTGCCAAAGAGTTCGATACACAGGAGCAGCTGGTGCACGTGAGTGAGGTCCTGCCTGGGGACACCCGGTCCCACACCCTGCCCTCAGGCTGACACCCCCCCCCATGCCACCCCACA